CAACAGTCTATGAAATGGGTATTACTATTGTTTCCTTTTGCATTTAAGGAAACAGAGGCATAGAGACGCATAGAAAGGTTTGACTCTTGTCAACCAATTCTGAAGTGTGTGTTCTTGGCCCAGTACAGTCTCCTACCTCTACGGAAATAAGTCTAATTCTTTAAAAGGTTACTTCACTTTCTATAGGGTTAGTGTTTTATGAAGTTGGTTTGAGTTTTTCCCTTATTTTTCTAAATGGCATTTCACCGGGAAATATCTAGGCGTTGGTCCCTTCTAATATATAGTGTGATACTTGACTAGAGACTGAAGTCTTTCATCTGCTCAGAAAAAACATATATGTATTAACTTTTAATTATTGCTTCTGAATTATCCCTTCTGTCTCTCTTCTGGGAATCTTATTTTAAATAGATAGTAACTTCTAGAGTTCTCCTCTTTGTCTCTTCTTTTCTCCCATCATTTTCATCTCTTTGTCCTTCCCCACTGAGTACCCAGTGCATCTCTCTCGTCGGAATTTACTTCACCAATTTCCTTCAGTATCCACTCTATTGTCCATATTTGCAACTCAGGCAAACTGTCCTGCTCAGTTTGTTTCCCTCCCATGGCTGGTAATCTCATTTCACAGATTCGAAATTCTCTTACATCTTATTGAGATCACCATTCAGATATTACTTCATTTTTTCCTCCTGTTTCCTGCAGCAAATCTCTTTTACAGAGAAACTTTCCCTCTAGTTCCTCAGGGTCACTTCCTTATCAGAGCCACCAGCACTGCACAACTCCAGGAAACCAGCCTCAGACCTCTCTTTAGCTTTAATCTGCTTCCTGCCTGGGGACAGTTGCCCCTCAGTGCTGTCACTCTGACTTCTAGATGATGGTGATGGTGAGAGGGCAGCGGCAGGACTGGAGGTGGAGAATTCATTCAGATGCTGCTTTGCAGAGTTTGGTTCAGCAGGTGGTGGTGGGCACACTCTGCAGCTGAAACCACCCCTGTTCCTGATCAGGGCTGTGTGTTTGTAGTGTTGTGACATGGGTGTGCACATGCTACTTAACAAGTGTGCTCATGGACCTCTTGCTTACTTCTGCCCCGAGCTCTCTTATATATGGCTATGTCTCTGGAACTGCAATTTGGGCAAAGTTCGTACGCCTTTGGCCTCCTGCCTTGATGGTTGGCAGAAGGGCATAGACTTGGGGTCAAAGTGCAGAACTAATAAGGGAGTGGTTCTTTGTGTTATGGTTAAAGGTCTATGATACCCATTCATACCATTCCTGTCATCAACCCATGGACTCTGTGCATCACCAAGGCAAAGAAGAGGCATTGACTCCCCTCTCTTCTGACTGTCCACCTATGTAGAGCTTCACTTGTAGCAACTATTCCTATGCTGCCCTTGTTCATGCTAAACTGGTTGTTCCTTTAGAGGATACAGAGGGTGTAAATCATTCTAGACCCTGACCTGCTGGCATTGGCTTGGATCCAGCTGAAGACTGACCTGTCAATAGTTCTCTCTAACACAGTGGTCATCAAGTGTGCTCCTTGGACTTGTGACCATCATCAGCATCACTTGGGAATTTGTTAGAGATGGAAATTATCAGGCCTCACCTCTGACCTACTACATCAGGAATTCTGGGGCTGGGGTCCAGCAATCCATGTGCCATCCAGGTGAGTCTGATGCACTCAAATTTGAGGACCGCAGCTGGAACAAAAGCTAAAACTACCAGCTTGTCTTCTCCAACTCAACCTCAGGGCAGCTTTCCTAAAAAGTGCCCCGAGAGATGCCTTTGAAAAATGTAAAGTCTCCCTGGAGAGCTGGGTGCCCATTGACAGCTCACTAGACTTGGTTTTCATGTTTACTTTTCATTTCATTTAACTCAATGTTTTCCAAACTGACTTGACCAGAGAATTCTTTATCGCTATCAAATGCTCTTGGTCCTGCCTCATTACCCCTGAGCATATCTTTCCTTTTCCCAACTCAGAACCTCAGTACTTGAAGCTCCACGCATCTCAGATCCAACTTTTAGGAACTTGTTCACCATCAAGTGGACTTCTCCTGGCTTAGCATTTCCACAGAGTCCTGGCTCTGGACCAGAGAAGAGTCACAACTGCACTGTTCAGACCATGGGATCAGGTGGCTAAGATGAGAGGTATAGAAAGATTGTGGATTTGGAGGCAGGTAGACCTGGTTAGGATGCAGGGTCTACCACCGACTAGCTCCATGAACTTGGGAAAGTGACTGTTTTTCACATGATCTTGTGAGGAGTAAATGAAACCACAATAGAACAGACACGGGGTTTGGAGTCAGACCTGGATGCCAGCGCCAGCTTAGTCATCTACCAACTTTGTGCCTTTGGCTTCAGTTTTTCCGTCAGTAAAATAGGGGAATAATAATAATAGACAACTTACTATGCAGTAGTGATTAAAAATTTAAGTAAATAGTATATGTGAGAGCTCTTTATAAACTGCATAATGCTACAAAATATTCGCTGTTATTGTGTCAGAATAATTAAGCCGTGTTTTCAGAGGCTCTGTCCCTCTGCCTGGCACATAGTAGGTGATCAGGAAACTTCACTGGGTTCCCTTGCAAACAAGCATTGCCCCAAAGCACTAGAGCTGCGCTTAGTCCTGAGGGACCTTGTTCCAGCTGACAGATAAGAATGATTTGTCAGTCGCACAGCCACTGTTTTATGTTCCATCCTCCTCAGTATTGATTTGTTTATCAAAAATTTTATTTATAAGGAGCACAAAAATAAACTAGCCCAAATTTTGCAGGATGTATCACAAGGTTCTGAATTAATGAGATCCAAATTTATGAGGGTTTTGAATTGTTACTTCCTTTTCTGACTCTTCTGTTGTCTCATGGCAGGGAAGGAGAAAAGCCCCTGCTCTCCCTGGGGGTGGGTAGCGCACCCTTCCACACACCCCCTGTCTCCCTCCCCTTCATCTCCTTATGAAGATGCATTTCTTCATGTACTAGAATCCCGTTTTTGGAGCCATGACATCGCTTGAGATATGGGATGTGGACAGAAGCCTCTTAGTTCAGCTCCAATAATTCTATTCCATAAAATTCTGGGTTGTGACCACATATTTTACAAAAAGAGAGTTCCTCGTGAAAAGCTGTGTGCCCTGAGGAGTGAGATATTTTATTCCAGAGTGCATGGCGTGAGGGAGACTGTGGTAAAATTCTCTTATGTTCCTGATGTGCTAGGACAGCGATTCTCAGAGTGTGGTCCTTGAACCCAGCAGCATCAGCATCACTAAGCAACTCGACAGAAATACAAAATCTTGAGCTACTGAAGCAGAAACTCTGGGAGTGGGCCCAGCTGTGTTTTAACATACCCTCCTGGTTTTTCTGATGCACACTCAGGTTTGAGAACCACTGATCTGGGAGAAGAAGGAAGGGGTGAGCCAGCCAGACTCCACTCTTCAGAGGAAGGACTCTGGATCCCAGAACTTAAATAGTGGGTGGTGCCAGGCACCCACAAGGGTCCCAGCAAATGTTCATTGAACCCACCTGAATAAAGGGAACTTGGGTTGCTTCTTCATTTACTCCAGGGCGATGGTTCTCCTTTCTAGTGGCACATTAGAATCACCTAGAGAGCTTTTTAAAAATACCCTTGTCTAAGCCCAGACCCTGACAACTGAATCAGAACCACTGGAGTTATGTCTGGACATCTGTATTTTTAAAAGCTTCCAGATAATTCTGACATGCACCCATGTTTGAGATCTAAAGCAGAGGGTGCCCTGCTAAAAAAAAATATGATTTAGGTTGTCTTTGCATTTATCATAAATTTTCCCCCTAAAAATTTATTTTACCTGTTTATATTATAAAAATTACATATTTATTATAGGAAAAACTAGGGAAATGTAGAAAGTTGAAAGGGGAGAAGAAATAACACTCATGTTCCAACTATCCAAAGGCAACTGTCAGTATCTGGTGTGTTTTCTTTCAAGCTCTTCTTTTTTTGTTTTTGGTAGGCACTGGTTTGAATTTTTTAAAGCATTGTGATCATATTTAATATAGCTTTTTATGTCCACTTTTTGACTTAACATTACATCTTATGTAGTTCTGCACATTGTTGTAATTGTAAGTACGGTGTTTAATATGCTCTTGTGGCAACATGACAAAAATATGGCTTCTCTCCATTTTCACATGTGCACACTCAGGATGGCACTGAGAGAGTCCTTTCTTGCTTTACAGTGCCTGCATTTCAAGTGTATTGGGAAATCCTACTTTGAATGTCAGAAGCAGAACATTAACTCTCTTTCTCTCTGAATTTCTTCTCCCAGGTCCTAACCTGTCCTCGGTCTTTTCCTCACTCCAACCCCACAGGTAGAAGGATGCATTAGGCTGACGAGAGATAAGATCTTATTGCAGAAAGTCAAGAGGGGAGAGCACATAAATATTTTTCCAATGTTTTATAACCCCCATTCCACTTGTCAGCCTCAGCGGAGGTGGATTTCTCCTAAGCCACAAGACTATAGTTCCATAGGATGTGGTGTGATTCATAAACATCCACGTCCATAGAGCAGTCCTGATCAGACCCAGGCCTCTGTGCTTCAGAAAGAGAGACAACAAATGAGTGAGGCAAGAAAGAGAAAGGAGGAAGCTGGGACAAAGGAAAGGATGGTAGGACAAATAGACTGAGGTTCTGGTGTGCTCAGTCAGAAATGCCAGAATCAAGCCACATGTCTCCTTTTCCCCGTTCTGCTTTCAACATAACCTTCCCAGGTTGTTCTTTGTTGCACAATAATATATATATCACTATATATTATATATTATATGTTATATGTTATATATAAATCTTTATATATAAAAACATATATAAATTTTTATATATAAAATATATATATATATATTTTTTTTTTTTCTTGGTTGCTTCTGCCTTCTGACTTAGCTGATGATTTGAACTTAAGTTCATCATCATCACGGGGTGCACTGGAGCTGCAACATTTGTCTTCTTGTTGGTGTCATGGATGCGCCAGGTAATTCTGCCCCATCTTCTTGCAGGACATTATGGGAAGGATGCTTACCGAAGTGGAGGACCTGATCTCCATAACTTCATCTCATCTGGATTTGTCACATTAGGAAGAGGACACACGAAGGGTACAGTGGAAACCATTTTTTACTAAAATACAGAGGTTGCCTAGGGAACCCCGATGTGAAATGTGAAGACGGTGTGGAGGCCAGAGGCTTGTCCGGCACAGGAATAGGTGGGGTGGTTCCGTGACAGCTTGTCCAGGTGACATGCATGGCTTCTGGCAGGAGTGACCGGGAGGCCACAGGTGTGGCTTTAGAAGGCAATAATAGACTTCCAAGAGACATCCGTCCTGCTCCACCCATGGCATGGAGCAGGACACAGATGCCAGTGGCTCCCTGTGGGAGGGGACCACAGGCAGCCTAGTGGCAAACACTGCCCGTGGATGTGGCAGCATTTGCAAAGTGTTTGTTCTCCTCTTGGCTATTATTCCTTTTCCTTTCTAAAGCCACATTTCATAAACTGATGTCAATGTTCTGTACTGTGCATTTCTAAGCCAGCGTGCACGTCGAGAGTTTCAGCGTCTTAAGTGCGTCTATGTAAACTCTCTGTGATGTGGACACAAAGGTAGAGGTTATGCAGACCTTCAAGCCGCAAGACGAGAGCTAATGTGGCGTTTCTGCTGGGCTGCTTTGTGACCTAGCTGACAGCTTGCAGAGCATCTGTGCAGGGGGTGTGGGAGCCTCGATTCTGTCTTTTGTTTAAACAGAGTCCTACTAGTGTTGTGAGCATTCTGTCATATCAAGAGTAACTCGATCCCTAACTCCTGTGATTACCTTCCTCACACCTGTGTACTGTTATAGTCTAACTGTGAATTATGTTGTAGGGATGGGACATCTCTGTCTTCCTCTGAAATCTGTGTCTGTTTTAAGTGTGAGTGAACAAGGAACATTGCAATTCTTTCTTACATTCCATGCACCAAATTTTTAAATTCCTTATGTGATGTTTGTTCATCCTATAGAGAAAAAAAAATCTGTATCTGTGTATGTATTTTCTGTTGTGTCTCTTTGTGTCTAAATAAAGTTTATTGAGGATACAGGTGGCATTTGTGGCTACTAAGAGTTGAAGAATCAAATCGGGACCAGCTGGCTCCGGAAGGGGACATGGGCTGCACAGTTAACCAGTGAAAGACACACTCCTAGTCATAACCATGTCAACTCAAACCTGGGATGGCTTGGCCCACACGTCATCTGCTTTATGATAATTACCTATTGCTGTGAAACAAATTACTCTAAAATGTAGCATTTTAAAACAACAATAAACATTTATTATCTCACATAGTTTGTGTGGGTCAGGAATTTGGGAACAGCTGAGCTGGGTGCTTCTGGCATGGGGTCTCTCATGGGGTCACAGCCAAGATGTCAGCAGGGACTGCATCATCTGAAGACTTGACTGGGGCGGGAGGACCTGCTTCCAAGATGGTGCACTCATATTGTGCTGGCTGTTGGAAGGAGGCATCAGTTCCTCCCTATGGTGTTGTCTCCATGGCTACTTGAGCATCTTTACAGCTTGGTAGCTGGGCTTCCTCAGAATGGGTGATCTAAGAAAGGGAAAGACAGATGCTGCAATGTCTTCTATGACCAAGCCTATTGGTTACACACCATCATTTTCACAATATTCAATTGGTTATGCAAGTCAGCCCTATTCAAGATGGGAGGGGACTACACAAAGTGTGAATATCAGGTGCTGAGGATCACTGGGGGCCATTTTGGAGGCTAGCTACCACAAGCCTAGGCCCCATGGAGCAGAGCTACAAATCTGGATCTTTCCAACAGAGCACAGCAACTCTTACTAAGGCTTCTCAACTGCAGTGGTTTCCCATCCTTACCCCTACTCCATATATGTGGTTCACCCTGAAACACCAAACAGTTCAATCAATGAAACTCTTTGTACATATGTTATAAACGTTGTGGCTTTTGGTTCACACATTCATTCAACAAATATTTCACGAGGCCTGCTATGTGCTAAGCAATATTCAGAAGTAAACAAAATAGAATCTGCCCTTGTAGAACACACATTCCATTGGGGGAAGCAGACAAAATAAATTCTTGATAATAAGTGCAAGGAGAAAACCCAAAGCAGGTAAGGGGGCAGAGAGGGCTGTGGCAGGAAGCTACTCTCATCAGGGAAGGCATCTTGGATAAGGTGGTAATTGAGCAGAGACCTGCATCCCAGGCAGAGGCAACAGGAAGGCCCTGAAGTAGAAGCTTTCTTGTGGTGTCAAGAAATAGGAAGGAGGCCAGTGTGAGTGAGGCAGGATAGAAGAGGATGAGTAGAAGGAGATGGGATCAGAGCCATAGGGGAGCCAGATGATGCATTTATCAGGTGGTGGACATAAGGCTGCTTTCAAATTAACTAGACTTCCATCAGAACAACATAAAGGCGATTCTCTGTCCCCGTCTGTCTTTTTGGTTGCTGTCACCTGGGGCATCCAGGAAACTCTATCCTGCCCATGCGTGTGGGGCTTGGCTATGGCCACTGCATATTATCTCCCCATCTTAGCTTGTTCTGTAGCCTCACCCAGCCCTCTTGTGCACGCCTGATGCATGGCCTGTCCTCCCACCCATTGCCCTTACCAGATCCTCTTCTCCATTCCCTTCCACCCAAGGCCTCTAAATCCTTTTCTTACCAGGAATGTGCCTTGTGTGTATTTTCTTATTTAGATAATAACTCAAGTTTCATGAGCAAAGAGACTGGGGTTGGGGACGGGGACTTTGGAAATGGGGATTCCAATCCAGTATCAGGGACTCTATCCCTGCACAGCCCAGATTTCTGGAAAAGAGCCAGGCTCCATTCTCCCTTCCTTCAGAGCAAACTAAGTTCAACTCTGAGTGGCACCTGTAAGCAAACCAGCCCCATGTGAATATCCCGTGGGAAGGGAACCACTCAGATATCTAAACTGGGACCATTGTCCATCATGTGTGTTTAATTCTCTTCCTTTTCTTTCTCTACTTATTTTTTTTTGCTTCAACTTCAGTTACTGCCTTCTGGTTCCTCTTTATTCCTTTTTTCCTTTTCCTACATTTGCCTTAGGCTTTCTGGTGGCACTGGCTGATTGTGTATCCCCACTATGACCCTCAGAACTAGTGGGGTAGCTAACATCTGCTTTAGAAGGTAATATCATTGCCATACCAACCTGTATCACCAAATTGAACATGTATTTCTAATCAGACTCTGATTATATGAAAACCTAGCATGGATGGTCCCTGTTCTAAATGGCATTGGAAACCTTCATGGGAAGCTTGGATGTAGCCAGTCCTGTCTGCCACTTCACAGGCCCCAGGGCGTCATGCAGAGAAGTGCTCTCTAGCTTCCGTGAGGGCTCCTCCAATTTCAGAGAGCTGCGATGAGGATGTGTATAGATCTGCCTGCTTTATAGCAAGATCCGCATGTGCACGGGTAATTAAATCCTCTCAGATGAAGCCTAAATAAGTGCATATTGTTTTGTTAGTGGAATTGAGAAGTTGAGACATTAGAAGAAATAGAATTCTGACCATGGGGGCTGCATAAGCACCAAAGCTCCCTGCTCCATCTCTGTCCTGTTGGGAGACCCCACATTTTAGCCTAGGAGGTCACAAAGTCATTGGCCAACCTCCCAGGTGGCATAGCACTGCCTCAGGCTCACGGGCACCAGAGTCTGTGCTGACGCCCCTCTTCAGGACTTCCTCACTGAATGATGTGCCTTTTCCCATAATTCTGACTTTTCCTCTTACTTTCTCCTTCTTCTAAGGAACTACTTCTGCCAGTCTCCCCTGCTCTGATTTCTTCCTTTGACCTCCTGCTTGCTCATCCATTAGGGTAAATGGAAGTCAAGGCTAAGGAAGATAGTGATCAGAGTGGCCTTGAGTTTTGGTCCCCCTACAACCTTTTCTCTGTTAATTAGACAAGATCCTCCAGCCTCCCATGCAGAAGCGCAGAGCAGTCTTTAGGGAGGCACAGAGTCCACCCGGGCTGCGGCGATGAAAGCCCCAGGATAAAGGCTTCTATCTACCGAGCCAGGTGGTACCTGCCGGCGCTTCACCACACTGTCTTATTCCCACCATTACAACAACCCCGAGGGAGAGCTCTTCTTATCCCCATGTTACAGGTGAAAAACGGAAACTCGAGTGGTTGAGTAACTTGCCCAAGTCAACATCAAACAGTGCGGTTTCACTCCAAATCCAGGCTTATTTCCAAAGATTGTTCTCCCAACCACTGCACATCCTGCCTCTGGACGAAGGGAGGAGCGAGGTGGGGTATGGGCAGCGGTTCAGCGGGACCCACACACGTAAGCACTCAATAACCGACGGCTGTTCTTATCAGAGGTCCACATTTTGTAAGATCGGAAGTCACAAAAAGCAGACAGACCAGTCGTCAGAACATTGTTAACACCAGCTTAGCCGGGTCTGGCCTTCCAGAAAGGAAGCTCAGCCCCCTCTGATAATTTCTCAGGGCCTGTCTAAATGCACACACCTGCAGGGACTCTATTCTATTTAGGCAGTTTGGTTACAATCGCAGGTAGGTTGGCTGTTTTTGAGGCTGGCCGAAAGAGCCGAAGACGCTTTCCAGAAGCCCCACGTGACAACAGAGTTAATTCCAGTGATCTCCATTCGTGCATCCTAGGCCACTCAGGCCAAGTCCTTACGGCTTGTGCTCACCGCAGCCACCTCCCGCACTCAGGCAGTGTGCAGAGTGAGAGTGAAGTGCAGGTTACTACTGCCTGCTCTTCCTCTGGTGTTTCTCACTGTTCACCAGGTCCTTCCCACCATGCCGGGAGCCAGAGAGAGGGGCATGTGTGTGTGCGCACGCATGTGTGTATGAGAGAGAGAGAGACAGAGAAATCCCTGAAGGCTTTGCTAAAAGGTAGGAGCTCCAAAGTGGTTGCCCCTTTGTGGGCAGCGGACACCATTGCCCATCTGGTCATTCGTTCCTTCACGTAAGCACACATGCTGAGCACCTGCTCTCTGCCCAACCCTGAGCACTGAGGACACAGCGGACAAACTGACATGCCAGTGAGAGATGATAGAAATAAAGAAGAAGTCAATATATGAAGTGTGTCAGATGGAGTTAAAAGCTATGGAACAAAACA